TCAACTAAAATCTGTGATAAAATCAACTAAAATCAATGATACAATCATGTGGAGACAGAATAGGCTTGCTTAAAAAGAAAAGTCTTTAAGCCTTTTTTAAAGTCAGTCAATGATTGTGGAGCTCTCAGATATTCAGGGAGGGAGTTCCAGAGGCGGGGGGCAGCCACACAGAATGCCCGATCTCCCATGGTTCTTAATTTAGTTCGTGGCAGGTGGAGGAGATGACTGTTCTGTGATCGTAGGGACCGGGTGGATGAATATGGAGCAAGAAGGTCCTTCAGATAATCTGGTGAATTTCCATATAAACACTGATGGGTAATGAGAGCAATTTTGTACTGAATTCTGTAGGTGACAGGAAGCCAATGGAGGTTATGGAGAATGGGTGTAATATGTTCAAATTTACGAGCTCTCAATAAAATCCTGGCTGCACTGTTTTGAATATATTGAAGCTTCTGAAGGTTTTTGCCGGGTATTCCAGTAAACAGGGAGTTGCAGTAGTCGAGCCTGGAGGAGACAAAAGCATGGACGAGTTTCTCTGCATCAGCAAAAGTGAGAGATGGGCGCAGTTTGGAGATATTTCGAAGATGGAAGAAACAGGTTTTAAACAGATGCTTAATGTGATTTTCAAATGTAAGATGAGAGTCCATTTTTATTCCAAGATTTGTAACAGAGGTGGTGGAGAGGGGGATGTCTTGTCCGGAAAATGAAATAGTCGTTATAGTTGAAGTTTGAACCTGGTGAGGGGTGCCAATCAGTATGGCCTCTGTTTTGGAGCAGTTTAACTGAAGAAAGTCCTGATTCATCCATGCCCTTATCTCCTCCAGGCAGGTAGAGAGGGCAACGAGTGAAGATGGAGATGACAGTGGTGAAGATGATGCTCCGGTCCTGATGTAAAGTTGTGTATCGTCGGCATAACAGTGAAAAGAAATGTTGTACTGATTAATAATTTGACCTAAAGGCAACATGTAAAGGGAAAATAGCAGGGGCCCTAAAACTGACCCTTGAGGGACACCACAGGAGACACAGACAGTCTGGGACTTGGCATTGCCAAGACTAACACATTCCAGCCTATTGGAGAGGAAAGATTTAAACCAGTCCAGGACAGTGTCACAGAGACCGACCTCCACATGGAGACGGTGGAGGAGGATACTATGGTCCACAGTGTCGAAAGCTGCAGTGAGGTCAAGGAGAACAAGGAGGGAGGGAGAACCAGTGTCAGCAGCCATGAGGACATCATTGGTGACTCTCAGCAGTGCGGTCTCAGTACTGTGAGCTGCACGGAAGCCAGACTGAAACTTCTCATACAGGGAGTGTTGTTGTAGGTGGATCTGCAGCTGAGCAGCAACTGCTTTTTCCAGCACTTTGACAGAAATGGGAGGTGAGAAATTGGGCGGTAATTAGAAAGAATGTCTGGATCCAAATTAGATTTTTTCAGAAGAGGCCTAATGATGGCAGTTTTAAGAGGCAGTGGAACTTGACCAGATTGCAGTGACTTATTTATTATATGTGTGATTAATGGGCTTATTGCAGAGTGATTGGATTTAATGAGAGACGAGGGGAAGGGATCCAGGGCGCAGGATGAAGGCTTCATTTTCTTGATGATGGTCTCCACTTCACTCTGAACAACCTCATCAAAGCAGCTCAGGGACCCAGAATGCAGACGGGTAGATGGCAGATGAAGATCAGGGAGGCTATGGAGCTGAGATCTAATGGAGTTAACTTTGTTTTTAAAAAATGAAAGGAACAGGTTGCATTTTTGAACAGAGTCCTCATGAGATTGTTTAATGGGATTAAGGAGATGATTTATTGTGGAGAAGAGTTGTTTAGAGTTTCCAGGGCAGTTGTTGATGATGTTGGAATAATATTTGGACCGTGCTTCTTTAAGAGAAAAGGCGTAGGCTTTCTGATGTTCTTTATATGCCTGCTGATGTACAGAGAGACCAGATGATTTTACACGTCTCTCAATAGCACGGCCAGCTGCTTTCATCTTGCGCAGCTCAGCAGTGTACCAAGGGGCTGAACGGGAAAAAGACACCAGCCTTGCTTTAAAGGGAGCATGGAGGTCCAGAAGCTCCTGGAGAGATTGGTTGTAGTAATCCACAGAGTCATTTGCAGATGAGTGATTGACAGCAGTCAGGGAGTGGAGATCAGAGGACAGAACCTCAGGGGAAATGTTTTTAAAGTCACGGAACTGGATAAGTCGTTTAGGATTAGGAGCAGATGAAGTTGAAGGCACTTCCAGGGAGATGACACTGTGGTCTGAGACACCCAGGTCATATACAGATAAGTTATTGATAGGTACAGTGTCTGTAATCACCAAATCCAGAGTGTGCCCCCTGTTGTGCGTAGGGGCGTCAACATACTGAGTGAGATTGAGAGAATCCAAAAGGGACTTAAACTCTGCTGCCAGAGGGGAAGAGGAATTATCAATGTGGATATTTAAATCTCCAAGAATAATATTTTTCACAGGAGATGCGCAGAAAAAAGTGAGGAGGTCATGCATCTCTGAGTTAAATGAAACATGTGGTTTGGGAGGCCGATAAATCAATATAACATTCATCAGGAGGGGGGCTTTGAGGTTGAAGGCCAAACATTCAAAAGACAAGAAGTCCCGAGAAGCTAAATGTGATAATTTTAAATTACTGCGGTAAATTACAGCCAGACCACCACCACGGCCAGTGCAGCGGGCTTTCTGCAGGTAACTGTATCCAGAGGGACAGGCTTCATTCAGAGAGCTGTACACATCTGGCTCAACAGCTTCACCTGGATGCCAGGCTGCGCAGGTATCACAAGCTCACAGTGACGTGGTCATGTCTTCATGCCGTGACTCTGTGGAGGGATGGAGATTTTTTGTCCAGGGGTGTCCCCATGGGAGTGGTAGTGTGTCGCAGGGAAGTGGTCACGATGGATGCCAGCTCCATAAGATGGGGCGCTGTGTGACAATGCAGAGCAGTTCAGGACCGCTGGGGTCAAAAGACAGCTCCAACCATATAAAGGTGCTGGAGCTG